TTTGTGGGTAACCCGACCTTTCTCTCTGGCTGCCCTTAACATTTTTTCCTTCATTTCAACCTTGGTGAATCTGACAATTATGTGTCTTCAGGTTGCTCTTCTTGAGGAGTATCTATGGGTGTTCTCTGTATTTCCTGAATTTGAATGTTGGCCTGCCTTGCTAGGCTGGGGAAGTTCTCCTGGATAATATCCTGAAGAGTGTTTTCCAATTTGGTTTCATTCTCCCTGTCACTTTCAGGAACACTGATTAAATGTAGATTTGGTATTTTCACATAGTCCTATATTTCTTGGAGGCTTTGTTCATTTCTTTTCACTCTTTTTTCTCTAATCTTGTCTTCTTGCTTTATTTCATCAGTTTGATCTTCAATCACTGATATCCTTTCTTCCACTTGATTGAATCAGCTATTGAAGCTTGTGCATGCATCACGAAGTTCTCATGCTGTGATTTTCAGCTCCATCAAGTCATTTAAGGTCTTCTTTACACTGTTTCTTCTAGTTAGCCATTTGTCTAACCTTTTTTCAAGGTTTTTAGCTTCCTTGCAATGGGTTAGAACATGCTCCGTTAGCTTGGAGAAGTTTGTTACTACTGACTTTCTGAAGCCTACTTCTGTCAACCTGTCAAACTCGTTCTCTGTCAAGTTTTGTTCCATTGCTGCTGAGGAGCTGTGATCCTTTGGAGGAGAAGAGGTGCTTTGGTTTTTGGAATTTTCAGCTTTTCTATCTCGTTTCTCTCCATCTTTGTGGTTTTATCTACCTTTAGTCTTTGATGTTGGTGACCTACAGATGGGGTTTTGGTGTGGATGTGCTTTTTGTTGATGTTGATACTATTTCTTTCCATTTGTTAGTTTTCCTTCTAAGAGTTGGGCCCCTTAGCTGCAGGTCTGTTGGAGTTTGCTGGAGGTCTACTCCACACCCTGTTTGCCTGGGTATCACCAACGGAGGCTGTAGAACAGCACATATTGCTGATCTTGCTGCCTGATCCTTCCTTTGGAAGCTTCATCCCAGAGGGGCCCCCTGCCTGTATGAGGTGTCTGTCAGCCCCTACTGGGAGGTGTCTCCCAGTCAGGCTACACAGGAGTCAGGGACCCACTTGAGGAAGCAGTCTGTCTGTTCTTACAGCTCGAATGCCATGCTGGGAGAACTACTGCTCTCTTCAGAGCTGTCAGACAGGGATGTCTAGGTCTGCCGAAGCTGTCTGCTGCCTTTTGTTCTGATATGCCCTGCCCACAGAGGTGGAATCTAGAGAGGCAGTAGGCCTTGCTGAGATGTGGTGGGCTCTGCCCAGTTCGAGCTTCCTGTCCTCTTTGATTACACTGTGAGCACAAAACCACCTACTTAAGCCTCGGCAATGGCGACACCCCTCCCCCCGTCAAGCTGCAGCATTGCAGGTGGATCTCATACTGCTGCCCTAGCAGTGAGCAAGGCTCCGTGGGTATGGGACCTGCCAAGCCAGGCATGGGAGGGAATTTCCTGGTTCTGCCAGTTGTGAAGACCATGGGAAAAGTGCAGTATTTGAGCAGAAGTGTACTGTTCCTCCAGGTACAGACTGTCACAGCTTCCCTTGGCTAGGAAAGGGAAATCCCCTAACCCTTTGCACTTCCCGGGTGAGGTGATGCCCCACCCTGCTTCGACTTGCCCTCTGTGGGCTGCACCCATTGTCCAACCAGTCCCAATGAGATGAACCAGGTACCTCAGTTGGAAATGCAGAAATCACCTGTCTTCTGCTTCAGTCTTGCTGGGAGCTGCAGACCAGAGCTGTTCCTATTCGGCCATCTTGGAAGCCTCCCTAACTGGCAAACTCTTAACCCTTCAGGGCTCAGCTGAGATGTTGCCACTGCAAGGAAGTCTTTTTTTTTTTTTTTTTTTTTGAGAGAGGGTCTCACTGGACTCTCTGGAGTCCAGTGGAGTGCAGTGGCCCAATCTCAGCTCACTGCAACATCCGCCTCCCAAACTCAAGCGATTCTCCTGCCTCAGCCTCCCGAGTAGCTGGGATTACAGCCGTGCACCACCACGCCCTGCTAATTTTTGTATTTTTAGTAAAGACGGGGTTTCACCATGTTGGCCAGGCTGGTCTCAAACTCTTGACCTCAAATGATCCACCTGTCTCGGCTTCCCAAAATACTGGCATTACAGATGTGAGCCATCGCGCCCAGTCCAAGGAAGTCTTTAGAGACCTCCTCCCACCCTACACAGCACCCTTCCTCTGTAGTCTTACAGCACTCTTACTGACCCTCTCCCCCATTTCAACCCCTTTCATACTGTGATTAACTGGTTAATCATCAGCTTCCCTTGCTAGACTGCCCTCTGCAAGGGCATGCCACATTCATTACAATAGATCAAGCAGTTAGCCCTCTTGGGTACTGGCACATCGATCTCTGCAGCTCTCCTTCCTCATTGGCTGACAACAACAAAAACAACAACAACAACATCTTCTGATACTAACACCACACCATTGGTTAAAGCTTTCTATATGCTAGGAATTGTTCTATTCACATTACTGGAATCTTGCCGATAACTCTATGAGTAGGTATCCTTATCCCCATCCTATGGTTGAGGAAACAATCTTGGAGAGGTTAAGCAAGTTGTTTTGTTTTGTTTTGTTTTGTTTTGTTTTACTACTGGTCAATATTGGAGCTGAGGTTCAAACCCAGGAAGCTGACTCCTGGGTCAATGAAGCCCTTTTGGGAAGCACTTCACCTCTGGTATTGGCTTTGGGCTTTGATACACATTGTGCTTTATTGTTTTTTTAAACAATCAATGAGCTTTGCATAGGCAATTTGCCCTGATTCCCTATGCTCTCCTTCCTAAATGTGACTGTTGGTGTCTTGGTGGTCTAGAAGTGCCTCCAGCTCCCCACATGGATGTCCTGGGTTCAAAATACATCTTCTTGGTTATACCAAACACACTCTCCCTCCTTATCACCTTTGCTCACGAAAGACACCCACAGCACCCTACAGTGAAAAATCAGCACTGTAGGGGAGAGGTATGTTCCGAGCAGTCGTTATGGCATCATAGCAGATCATGCATTCCTGAAGTTTCGGCTCTCATGGCTTCATAGATTGAGAGCTGAGGCTCCTGATGGGATTCACCCCATCTGAATTAGAGAGCTGTGATAGAATAGGGCAAAAGGAGACATTCCATTACAAAGTCAAACCATGGTAAACAACCACAGCCAAAGGAGATAGAAGAAAGAAAGAAAGGAAAGGAAAGACAAAAAACAATTATATACAGAAGGAGGATGGCAAGTTGCTGGAAGACAAACAGTTCTCCTACATCTTAAAATTCTAGAACAAAGATGTGACCAAGTTTCCTGAGTCTTTTATAGGAACTTTAGACTAGTATTTCCTGAGTTCAGCGTCCATAGGCAACTGAATGGATGTTAGGCGGGCAAGCACACCGCCAATTTTAGGTACATGTTTCAAAAGACTCATCAAATTTTTAGAAATAAAAAAAGCATAATATCTTAAACTTATTAATCATTTTCATATCAGTAATGGGGAATATTATTTGAAGTTAATCCTTTACAGTTCTATATCTGGGTCTATTGGATATATCTGTTTCACAACAAGTCATTCTGAAGTGGTTTGCACACTTTTAATTTGTGTAGATCCTAATTCATAATTACAGGTAGTTACAAATGACAGCAAGTATTTGGTGGCTATCTAAAATTATTCTGAGTATTTAGATAGAAGAGGACCCTAACATTATGTTGTGATTTCATACAAAACACTTAGCTAGATGCTAAGTTGACAAACATACTTTATTCAGAGTATTGGATGTTTCAGCTCTGGAGATAGCAGCAAATGGATTCTGTTGTGGTTTGAACTACATCAACTTGCTTAGGCTGGAGTTACGTTTCCCAGAATCCCCTTCTCTGAGTGGTCTCAAGTTAGAATTGGTCCAGAGAATAATTTGCACAACATTTGCAAGGTAGAAGTGAAGCAGCCACCATTACTCTCTGAAGATTGTCAGGGTTGGATGTGACAGACAGATGCAGAGGGTGCTAGTGGGTTCCATTTATTCTTGCTGTCCTCCACTCTGTGGCCTGGTATTCCTCCCAGCTGATGACTTTGTTGACCTGCAGTGGTCCTGGCCCATCACAAGATGCATGGGGACTGTAATGAATTTATCATTGCATCTCCAGTGTATGATGCAGATCCTGTCTTATCAGTATCTTAATTGTTCATTGAGTAAACACATGTACATGGTTTTATATGCATTGATTTTTGGCTACTCAGCATTGGGAAATAATAATACAATTTTCTGGAGAATCATCCCTGTCCCACGTTTAGTCAATGTATGTTGGGTAAGGTTTATTTCACGCCTAGCTCCACTGACCACATGAGTTCAGCCAGGCCAATCAAGTTATTACATTCCCTTGGCTACAGTGATTGGCTTGGGGATGGAACACTACTCAGCCTAAGCCAATAAGATGTGTTGAGTCTTTTGCTGTGACTGTCACAACAGAGGCACATGACCTTTTCTGCTGGACCTGAACCTGGGAGGATATAGGCCTGACTCTGTTGGCAGTCATTCTGGTGCCACACTGAGCCTGAGAATGAAGCCAACATTGTGAACAGCAAAGTAATGAGAAGAAACAAGACTGGGTTCTGATAATATTTGAGCCCCTGGATTGAGCAGTGCCTGAAGTCAATATCCCCTGGATTTCAATTATATGAACCAATAACCACCCTCCCCCTTATTTCTTCCCCTCAAACCACTATGGAGTGGGATTTCTGTGATGTGGAGCATAAATTCTCCACTCACACTGCATAGTTTTCAATTTCCCTTTAGGAGCAAAATACCTTTTTCAGATGAATGTTCACACAGCACCCCATTACACAGCAAGGTTAATAGCAGAGCTCATGAGGACCAGGCCCTGCTCTCCTGCCCTCCATCCCCCAAGTTCTGAAGCCGTTCCTGATGCCTCTGTGGAACGCTGGTCTTGGCAGAACACAGTTAGAAAACCATTAATTTAACCCATGTCTCTTATTTTAAAGGTAAGAAAACTGGAGTTCAGAAAAGGGAGGGGACTGACTCAATCCCAGCTGCTGGCAGATCGAGGACTGCAAACCAGCCTTCCATTGCTCCACGCAGGTGTCTCTTCTCACGTGGAATCACAGCATTGGATGGACTGAAAAGAGGAAGAGGCTGCAATGGAGCAGCACACCTGGTGTGCGGGGATGCCTGGAAAACAGAATTAGGAGAGCCCTGGGTCAGCATTGCTCTGGCACTGGCTGGGCTGGGGGCTATCCTGATTCTAGAATTGTCTTGGTTCGTGGGATAGAAATGTCCCCAAAGTGGAGAAGTTCAGTTCAATCCAACATCCTTATATTGCAATGAGGATAAAGACCACAGACCCTATGGCCTGTATGACCCAGCTGCCCATTTCTAGGAACCCATTCCTACAAAAATGACAACATGCGTGTGCAAACAGCAGCAATGACAAACATACCCTGGGATGCTTTCCCTGTGTGGTTTGTTGTAGTAAGATAGTGGCCACAGCTTATATATCATCAACAGAGGACTGGCTAAATGATGGCACTTGATTCTGCAGAATCTTTTGCTGTAGTCAAAAAGAACAAGTTAGATCTGTACGTATGAACATGGAAAGGTATCCATGACTTATATTAAGTAGAAAAATTGCAGAATGATATTTATAGTATAACTTCATTCTTACAAAAACCGTTTTCCAAAACTGTGTGTGTAAAAGGGCTGGAAGGACACATCCACCGTCTTCATAGTGGTTACATCTGGGGAGGAGAGTTGGGGCTTGAGGCAGACTTTGGCCTTTCAATTTGGATGGGGGCCAGAGACCCCCTCTCAGATCTGAGAATGCTGTACTCACTTTCCAGCCTCCTTTGCAGCACAGGCCATGACAAAGACTCTGTTAAATCACCTTGGGTGGGAGGGGACAGGGCGTTTCGTCTATCTGGCAGAGGGGCTGCAAGGTCAAATTCCTGACAGAAGCAGTGCTGTTTCCTGCTGTAGCGTGCAGTGGTTATGTACTGTAGTGCTTAACGGTGGCAGAGGCAGCTTCAAACACACCAGCA